GGTGTACTCATAGTCGTGCATGCCGTAGTCGTTAGACCATTGACCTCGCATCCCTACAAAGCCGGGACGGAGCACGCCGGGTTCTCACCGGACCAGGCTCACGTGAGAGGGGGGCTAAAAAAAAAAAAAAGTGCTTCCAGTCAATGTCTTGGTTGTACTAATACCGACCATATGTCAAAACTTCAGATTCCAACTCGTAAAAGTCGTGATGTACATGCAATGCAAAGTTTTGGCCTCGACACCTGGGTGCAGGGGCGAAAATATATATAGAAAAATGAAGGGCTCACAGCCTACGGAACGGGTGCGAAAGCGAACTGATGGCAACAGGAGCACCCACGCCGACCCTATCCCCGTTGAGGAGGGGCACGGTTGCTATGATGACGTGATTTTGTGAAGTTCAGCCAAAGACGACACTTGCCTTTACTCTTATCTAGATAGTAAGATGGGACAGAGGCCTTCTGCCACCCCTTGGTTTTGAGTGCTGCAAGGCGGGCTCCATGCTGTCCGCTCTCGGTGCCAGCAGCGGATGCTGTGTGTGTCCATCCGTTGTGCACCATTTTTTTCAAAAAGTCTTATTTCCGCCGCAAAAAAAAACTTTCAGCTTCATTTTTTTCTTCTCTAAAACCTATATGAAATGCGGAGGGTTTTCTTCGTTTGAGAAAAAGTGTATACAGGGTTCTTGAGAGACAGCTGCACATCCGCTGTGATTGGCTGATTGAGCAGATCAGGTTTCGTCACCCTTTCGTGTCACCACGTCCCCATCCCTTCGAGAAAATGCTCCGACTTAACCTCGCTGCTACTATAGCGTATCCTTCTTGCAGCCCATGATATTGCGTCCGTTGTAAATTGGCAATGATGTGTGCGCACGACAGAATGTGGGGCATTCGTCCTCCAACAGAGACACAATCTTCTTCTATAGGAGGTCACAAGACAAAAACTCGGACTAATTCGGCCACGCAACCGTCACCCCGGACCAAGGCAAACAACACATGATTGCGGCAGGATCCACCTCCACGCCGTTAACTACAAAGGCGGCCAATGACGATCTATACAAGCCGAAATTAAACCAGTAGACTAGTCAGCGCTGACTAGTCCAAGGGGAGTCGCCCTCCTCGGAAGTGAAAGGAAGTGCGGGGGCTCACGAACCCCACGACCAACGTCTTAAAGAGGCCGAAATCAAACAGTAGAGTAGTCAGCGTAGACTAGTCAGCGGCTGACTAGTCTACTGGTTAGATTCCGGCTTAAATAAATCTCACCTGTTCCACCTTGCCCAACACCATGGTGCCCCTGTCGTTGTAGCGATCAAGCACTGGAACTCGTAACGGCCTGTCCGCATGTCGGTCGTCCATGTGCAACTTGTCAAGCAGCTGAGTCAGACAAGAAAGAGGTAAGTGGACGTGCGCAGACAAGTCAACGGAGGTTGTGGATTATCAAGCAACAAAATGGATACGAAACAACAAGCACAATTGTTGGGTAACACCTATACTTTTCCCCCGGTGGCTCTAAGAAAGTTTAGGTATATTCTGCTGCTGACGTAAGGTATGTATGTCTTTGAGGGTTGTCTACCAGAGGCATGTCTTTCGATACCTAGCGTTGTCTGGTGCTGTCGCAGAGGTATCTGTTTCAATACAATGGCGTTGTTTAAATAGTCTACCTCTGCCTCTAGCACTATACATGCATACCTCTACGACGCTACTTCAGACATATCTCAACCATGGAGTATTTCGGTACCTAGCGTTGTGTCGTGCTGTCGCAGAGGTCTCTGTTTGTTTGTAACAGCGTTGTCGAACAAGTCTACCTCTGCCTCTAGCACCATGAATGCATACCTCTACGACGCTACCTTGGACATATCTCCACGACAGCACAGCAGCACCGCAAGATATACATACCACCTGCGACAGCATTTCTGTAAGACATACATACCTCCAGGAGAGTCCCCTCAGAGGTGTTGTTGTCCCCGGCCTTGATCATCGGCCCCCACCAAGGGCACAAGTCATTCGCCACCTATGCATCCGTGCAACGAAAGAAGCATGCATACAATTTTGAAAGTGTGTTGCGAGGGACAAAGGCTATTGTATCGATGGTACGTTTCGGAATCTATCGACCCGTATCCATCGATAGAGCGCATTTGAATCTGTTGCAATTTACGATAAATACCGATTCTGTAGATGCATGCCGAGAAAACTGTCGTACATGCGTTGCCTGTGACCATGGATATCTATAGACCTTGATAGGTTATTGTTACCTACGGTAACTACCGGTCGCCCCGGTAGTCTAGTCGGTATATATCCTCGCAACCTACCTGTGGCCAACTCAGCGGTTCGAATCTCGGCGTGTGCGAGCTTTGCTATAAGCGACAAAAGATCGTTCTCTGTCACACCCATTGCTGGTAATGGAAAGCGCTTGAAAGCACTTCGTGTACAGTCTACACTTTTTGAATAGGAGAGTCTTTCGCATTAAATCCTAGGCAAGCACCTCGGGAGGGGCGGATGGAGAGGAACTCTTCTCTGTGTGGCCATGGATTCGAGCTACATTACGGCAGAAATGTTGTGTGTGTGATTTGAAGCGATGACAAAAAAACAAGAGGAGCATATGTGTGTTTGAGCGTTGATTTAAATTGGAATCGGTGAAAAAAAGAAAAAAGGAGCTACAGTATATTGAACGGGCAACTATGCTCCCACCTTCTCTTCCGTCGGGTTGTTGCTGTTGGTGGTGCATCGAAATACAGCACCATTGTATGCATACCTCGCTCATGAACTTGTATGATGTACTCGACATGACGCCTAACGCCCACCACATCTTGAACCTACCCACTCATGCCAACACCAAGGGCGACCTGCCTGGCCACAGGCAAACAAAAATGGCTTGTCTACACGTGGGAAATAGAAAAGGTTGCACAACCAACCCCCCTTCCCCGCCACATAATTTCTCTACGAAGTACAATTTTTCATTTTCAAGTTTCAGTTTTCGGGACGAAACATCAAAACAGCCCCGCCCGTGTTCGCGAAACACCCAAGGGGTTGGAGTAAACGGCCACGTGCTGGGAGCGCTGATCTGAAGTGAAAATAATAAAAAAAAAAACACCCCATCGAGTGTGGAATATCTCGAACGGCAAGTGTTGCGTTGATTGTATGCAACTATTTTCCAAAACTTCCAAGTCGCGCAGTTGACCAGCGCAGGGCAAGAGCACCGAACAAACCGTACCTGCTTCTTGACGTTGGCGCCCGACAGTCCCGAGATGGGAATGAACTTGACCTCCTTCTTGACGGCGTAGCCGCACTGCTGCCTCAGGAACGGCCTAATCTTGGTGACGCACTCGTCGAATCTCTCCTTGGCCCATTTGACCGTAGGATCGTCCATCTTATTGATGACCACCACGAGGTACCTGCCGCAACAAAACCAACATCACGATGAAACATGAACCCCACTTTGAGTTGTGTTGGAGCAAAAACATCCAACATCGACATGCAACAACAGTTCGACCTGTTTGTTGCAAAACCAAAGTCAAAAATCAACACAGCCGACGCAGTGCAAGTTGGGTTGGAACCAAAATCAGACAGCAGCACGATCAACACTTCGAGCTGTGTCGGAACAAAAACAACATAACCCCACAGCAAAAACTTCGAACCGTTGTTGGAATAACACCAACATCAACACCGACAACAACAACACTTTCGACCGGTGCTGGGACAACAAGATCGGCATCGACACCACCGCCAAAACGAACGCGTTATCTGCGACACACGTCATCACCCATTGTCCTCCATGACGCCCACCCATCACCCAACTGCCGAAAACAAGAGACAACTAAACAACGCTGACAGGTCGATCACGACCTGATGATATCCGAGTAACAATATTTCATTGTGTACGCCCTTGACACCCCATAATCTGGTTGTTATCCTTGCAACCTTCCGGTGGTCGGGCCAGGGGTTCGACAAGTGAGCTTTCTCTTGCAAAGTGACTTTTTTTTTTTCGCTTCCGTTCCTGCTTGTCGACAACGTGTTCACCCTTTGAGAAAAGAGAAGAGAGTGCTGCCCTCTTCTCGCTTAAAAAATCGATCTACAATCGAAGGCAAGCGCCGCGGGCTTCAGGGGGAGGAAGAACCTTTTCTGTGTGACCACGAACTCGAGCTCCCACCTCCCAGAAATGCTGTGAGCGTTGATTTCAAGGTGACGAACCAAATAATAATAATAATAATAATAAATAACGCTCTGATAGACATTTTCAACGATGCCCCCCCCCCCACTTTTCTTTTTGGTGCAACCATGCTCCCCCCTATTTAGTTTTCTTTTAATATTATTACATCGGTCCTTCCACTATCCGGTACAAATCGGGACGCAAGTGTCTTCGACAAACGCCAAAACCCGAAAAGCACATCCTTACGATACCAATTGTGACAGCAGCAACATCCTCACCGGACACCCAAGGTCTTAGCCAGCAAGGCGTGCTCCCGCGTCTGCCCCCCCCTGTCGAACCCGGTTTCGAACTCTCCCTTCCGTGCAGAGATCACCAGAATACCCACATCCGCTTGGACCGCACCCTGTGGAACCAAATTATGTTGACGGAACGGAGTAACGTATTCGGAACGGAGAGGGTCGGTAGGGATACCATACCGGTGCGAACGAGATGAACATTACCCCGCGCAGCACAGTCATGATTCAGAAGCGATACAGCAAGAACACAGGATATATATTTTCTTCTTATCATTAAACGAATACAACGAATCCAAGCGCACATGAATTCCATCTAAAGCTGCAGACGCGAGGCAGAGAGCAGCCATGTGAGCACGATGCCGCCGCCTCCCCCCGATACTACCCTACAACGGTCGCGATGGTAAATTCCGGTACGATACCATACCTTCCGACCCACAACACTACTGCGAACGACCAATGATGCGTCTGACCAAGCCCTTTGTTTCCCCTTCTCGGCGTTCTTTTTTCATCGCCATCCTTTTTCGACTTAAATGCATACTACTTTTTGTACAAAAAAGAGCGGGCACAACGCACGCGAACCTCTACTACAGCGTTGCACTGCTTCGACCACGAGTTTCCGGATTCCAATGGTTTGACTCTCCACAGCAGGAGGCAAGCCGGCTGCAAACATGCGCCGTGTTCAAGGGAACCACTAAACACGCCACCAGTCATCACCTGGATCATGTTAGGTACGTAGGCGTTGTGACCAGGGGCGTCGAGTATCGTGTACCTGGGGGGGGGAGACGCCGGATCAACGGAGACACATGAGGGGGGGGGGGGAGGGGNAAGGGAACCACTAAACACGCCACCAGTCATCACCTGGATCATGTTAGGTACGTAGGCGTTGTGACCAGGGGCGTCGAGTATCGTGTACCTGGGGGGGGGAGACGCCGGATCAACGGAGACACATGAGGGGGGGGGGGTGAGGTGTTACGATTTTCCATGCAGGCCAATGCGTACGTATTTCCTGTGACCCTTACAAAGCCTGGACGGAGAACGTCGAGGGTTCACTTTTTGATCCCTTGACCAGGCAGGCAATGGTTGCACCGCTCTTTAGGAAAATACCACAAATAAAAAGAACAAAAAAGCGAGTCAAACCACCAGCGACGTGGGCATAAAACAAACACACACTGTCGCGTTTCAGCGCAATCTCTGGTAGCATAGCATACAACACCAACAAGGCCTATACATGTGGCCGCTTTCCGCGCGCAATCTCAATCCGTTCACTACGGGTAAGGTAGAGTCCATTCGATTACAGTAGTGGCCCCCAGTTGCGCAACTGCTTTCGACGGGCACAGACTGAGCTACCAAGTTGTTCTGTGCTTCGATAGTGCTTATATCCCGTGCAGTGCCGGTGAAACTCTGGGCACATACAAGGACTACGCCGAACCTATTGTGCCGTATATTTAGCTGTCGGAATACGCCAGGGGTCCAGCTGAGACCGACCTCTTGCATTCCGTGTCGAAGTGTGCTCGTCCCACTTCAACGGTCTTCCCCTTAGCTCTCTCCTCCTCGTTGGTGTCCATGATGAACGCCAGGAACCAGGATTCGCGGTTTCGCTGCTTCGCCTCCCTCTCGTACCTGATACAGACAGCGAAGATGACACGGTTTCAATAGATCTCGAGCGAGGCGCTACGGACAACGGCGACGACGATACGGTTTCAGCATGTCTCGAGTGAGGTGCTGCGAACAAGAGCGGCTAAGCTGCTTAGCCTCCCCGATTCAACGACAGCGACCATGACAGCGTTTCAAACATTTCCGGGTGACGTGCTACCGACTGACATGCTACAAAGCACAGCGGGCTGGACTGCTTAGCCTCCGTGGCTCAACGAAAAAACCACCAACACCAGCGAGGCATGAGTTGAACCGTACCGACTGACACGCTACCAACAACAAGGGTTAACTACTCACCGTAGGTTGCATATAGGTTGCGTAAGATACCACCCCCCTGAAACCGATTTTTCAAAACTCGATTACTCCACGACCAAAAGGATGCCGAAGGCAAGCGATACGTGTTCGAAAAGCGCTCGACGCGACGTTTCCAACTCCGACATTTTTTGGCACCGCCACTGCTTGCCCAGCCGAGTAACCAAGCTTTCAAAATCGGTCCCGGGGGTGCGATATCTTGCGTATGCAACCCACGGTAGCCTCCCTTGCTCACGTTGACATGAAACGCTTCAAACGACCGTGAACGTGAAAAAACTAATCCTGACCAAGACCTGCACGATGCGACATGCTACACGAGCGCCACATTTACCGCAACCCGTGAATGGTTCCGCACGGATAGATCGACGATTGCGTGCCACTTTTGGATCAGAGTGCCAAGTCAGTGGAGCGGGACTCGACTCACCTCTCGATGGTACGCTTGTCTACGAAGTCCGTGAGGTACAGAATGTTTCCCGATAGGGTAGATTTCCCGGCGTCGACTGCATTTACGAAAAAACCGATGCAGCAGTGGGGCATGTTTCTCAGCGCATTGTTGCCGTCGTCAACGTAGGGGAAACGGCCGGAAACATACACCGGTCGCCCCGGTGGTCTAGTGGGTAGCCTCGCAGCCTGCTAAGGACCAGGTCATGGGTTCGAGTCCCGACAGAGTGGGTTTTTTCTCGCTCATTATATCCTGGTCTCCGTTGGAAGAGACGCGCTGCAACGCTCGTTGTTAGTAAACTTGGTCGACTTCATAAGTCGCGAGGAAAGGGATTGCTTTACTCTTCTCGCGATAAAAATACCTCAAGCAGGAACCGCAGGAGGGGGTCCCAACCCCCCCCCTCCCGGTTGGGTCGTCTACCTGGTAGAAGTGGAGGATAATGGCCAGTAGGGCAGACGACAAAAGTCCAATGATGGGAGAAAAAAAAAAAAAATTACACGCCATGTTACAGCATGTTGCAGGGGCCTAAGCAGTGAACAACAGCTATGACGAAAACGTGCACACACACGCACCACCAACGGCGATTGTTCGACACACCCAACAGAGCAGAATCAACAGCAATATCGGAACAGTTTTACCATTTACCGACAAGGTACCATCAGGAGTCCCGTGTTCATTGTTGTGATTGCCACACACCCGAGAGAGACTACGGCTGCACCGTAGGAGAAACATGGGGGTGGAATATTGATCGTCGTGTTGGATCCCACAGCAACCTTTTGTAAACAGATGTCCAACAGAAAAAAAAAACACGCCTCGTGCACAAGCAGAGCGTCAGCACCTGCAGCTACGTGCCTGCACATACGGCTGCGCGTGCGCCAGACAGGACTTGGTGCTCGCCTCAATGGCAAGCACAAACGTGTTGGAGGTACATAGTAGACACAAAGGTGCCAAGGACAACACTCATGTACGTGTGCAAGCCAAAGCCGCGGCCGATAGCGTAAATGTGCGACTAGCACCACGGATATGGAGAACAACACAAGCCGTCTTGAGATGTCGACGGCTCAAGCAAGGTTTCGCCCGTATTCCATGCTCGTCTTGGCGAGACTGCACAATAAATGTACTCTTCGGTGCAGTAGAGACAGCAGCAGCGCATCAACTAAACTCGTTTGGGCATCGACTTTACACCAAGGAGTCCCATCCCACGTAAGGCATCCCATTCCACGGAAGAGAGGGAGTATACCGGTACAACCGTACACAGAGGCAGCAGCAGGATGATACGCACTATCATTTCGATGTCAAACAAGAACGTGCATAAGGGTACGATACACGATACGCAAGAAACTCGGCGCCTTCGTCGAGAGAAGCGATGATGAAATCCCTTTCCTCATCGTGTGCCGCTGTTGATCTAGTGCCATTGGCTTTGCTCGTCACGCCCGGGCGTCAACTTCCCCGCCACGGTGCATCTACGGACTGGACACCAGTGGGTTGCTGCTCTCGGTTGCCAACAAGACGACAGCGCGCTGTTCATCTCTGGTACCCTAGGCAACTCTGGCGCAAGTTGTTGATGGGTTGCACTCCATCCTCTCGTCCCGCTACTTGTATCTATCCCCTTCCGCAGCACGTGTCTGCGGAGATCACGGACGCAGATTCCAAAGCCCTCGCCTACTTTTCCTCGACTATTTCTTGTCACCATCGTGCGTTTAACTGTGCCTGTCTGACGTTAACCTACAGTACGAGGAAACTACGACCAAGCCTCTCCGCTGACACTCCGGGTACCAGCAGCTGAGCGCTTCCGCGTGCATATGCCCTCTCGGAAGAGCTCGATACACCCCTCTTGTGCTTGTATCGAAGCCAACAAGCACAGCAGAACTCCAGCAACCTTGTTGGCATCACAAGCCAACAGCACAACTCCAGCAAGCCTTGGACTTACCGTGGCCGATAAACACGAGGTTGAGATGCTCCCGCGGATCCTCATCAGTGGCCTCCTTCTCAACCACATCCTCCTTCTCTTCCTTCTTCCCTTCGTTGTTGTCGCCCCCCTTTCGCCGCTCCCCCTGGGCAGCCTTCCCCTCCCCCTCCCCCCCCGCAGCCGCGGCCCCCCCCGCTTGTTCCGGATACTGCCCTTCCACAACCTCCAGAGCTGCGTCTCCCGATACCGCTCCCTCCGCGATGATCTTGTTGATTTCGGGGTTGGCCATGAGGGCATCGGGGTCTTCCAGCATCTTGAGGGCCTTGGCCCGATCCCCGTTTGCAACCTGGAGCGTCGCCTGTTGGGTCGTTGTTGTTGGTTGTTTAGTGCGGTCGGTGTTTTACTGGGGGCATAATCTCGCGTTCGTGCTACGCGCTGTGGGTCACCCCCGACACTAACCGCCTACTCGCTGACTGCCAGAGACATACACCGCCTTCTCGCTTGATTGCCGGAGGACTGGAGTGGGGTTGCGTGCAACTTGGAGGGTCGCCGGTTGGTTGTTCTTGTTGCTGCCGTTGGTTGGTCGTGGCTGCCGTTGTGGGGTAGGTTGGTTCGTTCAGCGCGAGCCAGTCGCACCCGTGCGCGTGGATTAAGACAAACGGTACTACCGTCGCCGCTGGTGCGATCTTGACTACCATGGCAGCAGAAACGAACACCAAGAGCCGAAAAAGGGCTGTGCGTACGGGAAGCAGGGACGGCGTCTTTACTTACTGCTGTACCCCATTGGGCGATACTTCGCATTCATGCTACCCGCGCTGTGGGCCACTCCCGCCTACTCGCTGAAGTCTGTAGAGCGGTGGGCTTGCGTGCGTGGCTGCCATATTTACCCTTGCCACGTGCCACAACGCAACTACAGCAGTTAGGCACTACGGTACACCGGCATATTCCACCACGGGCATCCTCGTGATTGTGCAACGCCCCGTCCAGCTACAGGAGCTTTCCGAATGTTGCGTCGCCCCTGCTGCGTGTCGGCGAGATTTCAAGTGCCAGCAACTCAAAACATTCCTTGTCTCCCGCGAAGCTCAAGGGATCTACAGCAGTGGAGACCATAGAAAAAATGAAAGCCGATACGTGGCCGGCGCATCGACAAGCGCTATTCTGAGGGATGGGCGCCATTCAATTTCTTCGTGGTTCAGTCTTGTGCCCTGCGACTTCACAGGCGACATACAGGGCCAGCGGCGCCAACCAACCGGCGTTCTTGATGCCGCCTCGCGGCTGCAACTACCTCTCTTTTCGAATATGAAAGAAGGCCTTCAAATACAGGCGTAAATACCACAATGAACATACCACATGGTATATTCCCGAACAGAGGGGCACCTACTCACTTTCCACAGGGGGTCGTTCTCGTCCATCTCCTCCGCGTCACCTCCGTCACCCGCGCCTTCGGACTGGTCCTTGGAATCTTCCGCACCCCCTCCACCCGATGCTGTTGCTGCTGCTGTTGCCGCCGCGGGGGGCGCGGAGCTTATGCTGACTTCTCGCATGCCCTCCGCAACAGCGCCGACCTTGTCGGCGGCCATGGCCTGAGCTGACTGCATGGGGCTCGGGGCTGCTAGCGGAAAAGGCAATTCAAGAGGCGTTGATAGCGCGGAGCAGAGTACGGGAGGCGGGACGGGGCAGAGAGTCATCGCCTTGCCTTTGTGGTGTGTTTTTTCCCATCTACTGCAAGGAGCTTTGAGAAAATTGCCGTCACCGAAACATGGACTTCTACGTAGTCTATATATTTGACGAACATCAGCCAGGGTCACACAGGAAGAAGAAAACAGAGGCATTCTAATTTATCTTGTTGCCCTCGCCTTGTTTTTCCTTCCGCCGGCAGTGTTCTTGCCTTCAATATTCTTTGAAAAACGGTGAGAAAGGTTCCGCGTTTCCTGGGCAGTCTCTTCCATCTGGCGGTGTACGCATACGCAACAGAATACTGCTGTGAATCTCTTCCGTTGTAGGATACTTGAAACTTGATCTTGTTGACTGGACAGTTCTTCTCGCTGCCTAGCCAAGTGATCACTCCCTCTTCGTCCAACTGCTTGCCACGAAATGATGGGAAAATATTTGCCGTGCAGTAATCTCAACCTAAATGTATTGACATGTTATTCGCCGTCGGGGCCTTTTTCGTGCATGTCCATGAACAAGAACACGCCGCGATTCGATTGCAACCATGGCCGTTGCTCCCCTACAAGTGGGCAAACAAAAAAGAGAAGAGACAACAACCACTAATAGCGTCTTTCTCTGCATGCCTACACGTAAACACGAGGGAATGCACAGGCAAACTCTTGTTGGGCAAAGCATCACTCGTTAGGGCCACAAAATCGTGTGATGCGTGATACGGTCATCGGTTCGACAGATTTGCTGCCACACATACACACACCTGGTGCTGCTGCTGCAGCGGGGGTCGGCGCCGCTCCCCCCGGGCTCCACGACGCGACCGCTGGATTGAAGCTGAAGGAAGCCGCAGCGGGGTTGAGCCCGCCCCCTGACTTTTTCGTCTGCTTGTCGATGTCCTCCCAGCTCTCAGCCATGATGATGCGAAATGCGAAACCTTGCTGCTCCTGCTGCTGCAGCTGCCTGCCGTCGCTGTCGGCCTGCTTGATGCTATTGCGGTCAGCGAAGCTTCGCGGCTCGTGGCGACAAAGCTTCTCCCCACGCCCTGTTCTAGTAGCACACACAAGCACTACGCAAAAAACTAGATTGAGACAGGTGGCACAAAGCGGCAGCCGTGAGCTGATGTTGCTAGCTGTAGCCTAGCCAATTTTCGCGCAGCGAGACCGGATGGCGCCGGCGAGAGGGGGGTCGATGGATAGTATGCGGGGTACGTATTTGAGGGCAAAAGTGGTGAGAATAGGTTTCAGTCTAGTTCGCGAGGCGTTATTCTTGAACTCTGACCCGTCAGTATATTTTCTGGGTGCATAGAGATGCCGCAGGAGTGGAAGGATGCCATCATTAAGGTGCTGTACAAGAAGGGTGACCGTTCGAACTGCAACAACTACAGGGGCATCTCGCTGCTCTCGCATGTAGGCAAAGTACTCGCCAAGACCATCACCAACCGCCTGAGCGCATTCTGCGAAGCCAACGAAATCCTCCCGGAGGAACAGTGCGGGTTCCGGCCTGGCCGATCCACGGTATGCATGCTGTTCGTTGTGCGCCGACTCCAGGAGCTGGGGC